AATTTAATTAGTGTTGATCATGACTCCAGATGATGGTGATTTGATAAGGAATAATTTAGTACTTAACAGCCTTTTACATGCACCAACTCCATGTGGGAAGGTAAAGCAAATTGCACAAAATGAATGTGCTGCTTTCACTTGTGCCTGTGCCAGTGAGCTGGAAAACTGCCTGTTAGCAGACGCTCAGACTCTCAGCCCTGTGATGAAATACCCAACACGTTTTCAGCTCAGCCCTCCCTGGTGGGAGTCACTATCCTACCTTATTTAAGAATAAATAAGGGGAGTCATTTTTGTGATATAGAATCTCCAGCAAGCAGGAAGGTGAAAATGAAGAGAATAAAGTTGTATGTAGTTCTTGTGCAGAATGTTGAAGCTCTTTAGGTTGAGACCCCTTTTCTTCCCCCTCACACACAGCAATTAAAAAAAAAATGCTAGCCAACGCAAATTCACCGGATTACTCCTTTGGCTTATGATTAGGAAAAAAAAAAAATCACAGTTCCAAGGGCCCGTAATGGTGAAGTGGCCCACACACGTTGAATGTGTTCTACAGAGGGTAGAGGATCCCTGAGCTGCTGGAGTTATACAACCTGTGAGAATCCTTGAGTGTCGAAGAAAAGAAGACATTGTTAGATAATTTTTAAAAGTCTTTTCAAGTGTTGAACTGATTTGAGTGCCTCCCACTGCATCCAGGTGTTGCCAAGTATCACTGTGGATTTAAAATTTGCCCAGATATGAGAATAGCCTAGACATTTTTATGAGCTACAGACTCCTGAATTACATTCCAGTCTTATTAATCAGAATTTCTGAGAGTGGAGTATTATTTTGCTAGGGCTACCATAACAAAAGACTGTAAACTGGGTGGTTTCACAAACAGAAGTATATTGTCCCTCAGTGCTGGAGACTGGATTCAGGTATCTACACAGTTCTGAGGGCTGAGAGACAGGCTGGTTGATGCCTCTCCTCTTGGTTCTGGAAACCTTTCACATTTCGTGGTTTATAGAAGCATCATGCTGACCTCCACCTTCACTTCATGTTCTACGGTGAAGTGTCTCTGTTCCCTAACTCTCTCTCTCTCTCTCTCTCTCTCTCTCTCTGCAACATGGGGTATAGGAATCCCCATTCTCTCAAATGCTCCCTGGGTAACAGGATGATTGAACAGATTTGAGAATCCTGTGTTCAGAATCAACTTGCCTCAGATAGCAGTTGGTGAATCCTTATGTCTTTCCCTACAGAGTCACTTTAGCAAGTTCGTAGGATCAGTCTAAAGTGCTAGAGGTCAAAACAGTGTATACCCCACCATGGATCATGCCTTTGGCTTCTAGGTTGACACCAGCAGGCATTTGGTAGGTGGGTTTCATCATGCTAGGAAGCATTCCTGATGTCATGCCAGACTTACCCTGCCTCCCCTGACCCACCTGGAATAATTTCTTCTATGAAATTAAAGTGTATTCTCAGGTATCTCAGTCAGAACAAGAGACCTGACATGTTTAATTATCTTAATTTATGTAGTATAGCATTGCTTAATACTCTTCACATTTGTTAACTTTCTTGAGGCATGCATTCATTATAATACAGAGCCTTAAGTGTACGTATTGATGAACTTCACATATATGGTTACATAGCCACAACTAAGAGCAAGATATAAAGTATTTTCAACACTGTGTATTACTGGTGCCCTTTTGCATTCAGTAACACTGACATCCACCAAAAGAAAAGGATCCTTGAACTCTGGCTTAGTCTAGTCTGGTGGTGAAATTCAGATATGATACTCCCTTTCCCGCTTGGGTTCTTTTACTCAGTGTGAGAGCTGTGGTTTTGCGTGTATCAATAATATCTTCCTTGTTATTTCTCTGTAACATTCCATTGTGTGACTATACCACAGTGTATCCATTTTCCTGTTGATGCACCATAGAATTTTCAGTTTGACCATATATAAAGCTACCATGAACATTCTTATACTTACCTGTTTGTTGTTGAACCTGTGGAATCCTTCTCTTGGAGTTATACCTAAAAGTGTAATTGTTGGATCAATACAGGGTACATTTATTTATGTTGAACCTTAGTAGTGACTGCCGAAAAGATGTCCAAAATATTTATATCAATGTGTACTCTAAGCAGCATATATAAAAGGTCTTGTTCTGTGTCTACTTAAAAACTTGGTAATACCAGTCTTTTGCAGTTTAACCAATCTTGTGGGCATATAGTGATAACCGCATGTGGTTATATTTGTGTTTTCTTGAAGCGTTAAGATGTTGAATACCTTCTCATACATATTTTGTTGTTCTTCATTTGTTTTGCCGTTTGTGTGGTTACTCTGAACTGCCTATTAAAGTCATTTGCCGATTTTTAATTGCATCATTGGTTCTGTCTTACTAATTTGTAGCAATTCTTACAATGTTAAATATGAGTTCTTTGTCAATTTCTATTGCATTGCAAACATCTTCAGTGTAGTTCACTTTTTACTCTTTTACTAGCATCTTTTGATGAAGAAAAGTTTTCAATTTCAATGAAACCTAATTTGTAGATTCTTTCCTCATATGGTTAGTGATTTTTGTGTTCTGATTACTAATCTTTTCTTACCTCATGATACCAAAGACTTTTAAAATAGAGTAATATTAAACATAGTAGTCTCCAACATGCCTGATATTTTGATAAATAGATCACACTGCACACTTTGCACCACATTGCATATTCATCAGCTTTTTAAATCTTAATATTTTTATTCAAATAAATAAGATCTGAACACCCAGGTGTAATGATGTTACCTGGAAAGACAACATGAGTTTCTTATGTGTTGCTGCTGTTTTTTTGTTGGAAAATGTAAAACCCAATATTTATTCAAAGTATTTCAACTCGGGCATGCCCTTTTTGCTGTATATCTTCAAAGTAATAAACAGCCAAAAATGTTGTCTTTTAAGAAAGTAACAAATATGACAAATGTATGCATCATGCCATATTTGTCATGCTAAGTAGTAGTGCTCAAGACTGTTTTATTGAAAAGTCCAGGCATTTTATATTAATCTTAATACTTTATGAATCTGAAACCTTAAGTCTGTTTTTTTTACAATTGCCATTCCATTAGCACATCCAACAAAATTAAATAATTTCTTAATATCTAATATCTAGTCTATATTCAAATGTCTCATTTGTTGCATGTTATCTTTTCATAGTTGGTTTGTTGAAATTAGAATAAAATAAATCCTCCTAATTGTTACTTGGGGTTCTTAACTTCTTTTATTGAATGTTTAACAAATTATAACTTTCTGACTTGGTGAACATGAGCACTCTTGGCATATAGAGACACATATAGTTTCTTCTTTGTGTCTATATCTCTACTCTCTACTTTGAATAGGAATAGTAAACACACAGTACATTAAGAAAATACTTTGAAATAGACCACCCAATGAAATTATTTTATTGTTATTTATTACAGTTTCCTTAGATGACTAATTTAGGTGAAATGTGTTTATTTCAATGACAAATTTGTTTTCTAAATTTCACTTACTCTTGATTACCATTGAACATTTCTGTTAAAGTTATGTGCATCGACATTAGCCCTTATTTTCCTGGATGCTCGGTACTCCTTGATCTCAAATTCTTATACTAAAATTTTATGTGACATTCAAGCTAGTGCAACTGTATAGTGCTGTACTGTCATAATCAAGATTGAATGGCACCATAAGCCACAAAGTTTCTCTTGTTATAGCTCCCTTTATAGAATCAGACTTAATATTTTGTGTTTTAATTCCAGTTTTTATAGGAGTTAAGAATAAATCTCCAGAATTTGTGTCCTTGTTGTGTTTAACCCTTTATTAGTCATATTTGTACATATTGTACATGAAAATAAAATTCATTCTCATTCCTATTTTTCTTTCATCTTTTACTTTTTCATTTATACTAATAATTTTGTTAGGACCTCTAATAGGTATTTTTTCAATTTTATTATAGAAGAATAATATGTGTGTGTGTGTATGTGTGTGTATAGTGCTATTTATTGGTTTATATGTTAAGATTCCTCCACAAACATACATATTTTTTACCTTTTTGTATGATCTTTGTATTATATTAAGCATTAATGGACATAAGCATAATCATACATTAAGTCATGGAAAAGAATAAAACATCGTATGATACAGATTTTTATTTTATTGTAGAGTACATGTGACCTATAACTTCAACAAGTTTCTTACATTTCAATCACAATTGTGGTAAATAGAAAGATACTTTTGACTCTTTTATAAATAACCATTGGCCTCAAAGATGTAGAATTTAAAACATTTTTGTGCGGAAATCCAGAGTCATCAGTTATCACTGAATTTGCAATGGATTTACTTTATTGCCTGGAGCACAGGCCAGAGATGTGGGTGGTGAGAGGATTCACCAGAGCCAGAGCTGGGAACAGAACAGGCAGATCGACCACTGCTGAAGGGAGCAGCGGGCAAGACAGGAGAGGTGGGCCGCGCCATGTGGGCTGCCCCCTGGCAGTGGGGGATCGAAATAATGCTGCAGAGGCTGAGGATTGCTTCATAGTGCGGTGCTTAACCCCCGGCGCCACAAAGGAGGCCCCCACTTGTGATTCTCGATGAGATTATTACTATTGGTACAATTGAGATATTCTCCTTCCAGTTATGCTTTAAAATTATCTTGTCTTCCTTTAATTCTTAGATAATCAGTTGACTCTTTCTGCTTTAACTCATTGGAAATCATTCTGAAAATTTTTCAAAACTTTGTAAAACTGAGTTACTGGTTTTGTTAATATAGCTAAGCAAATAACAAATTTAAGTAATGAGAGAGTGAGTGCAAGCATGCATTTGGTTATATAATAAAAGCAGAACGAGGAGTATGCTGAAATTTTCCAGAATTTTTTCTTAGAAGTGTGATTTTTCCCATGTGTAAATTTCTATGAAATATTAGTGACATTTTAACTAAGAGAAATAGAATAAATTAACATACTTGTTTTCTAACTTTATTTTACTTTTTGTGGATATTTTGTTTTCTAGTGGCTTTTCATGGCCTACCACTGAAAATCAAGAAAGAACCCCACAGTCCATGTTCAGAACTCAGCTCTGCCTGCAGTCAAGAACAACCCTTTAAATTCAGCTATGGAGAAAAGTGCCTGTACAATGTCAGGTAAAATAGTCAGTCATGCATATATAGAGAATGGTGGTTCTTATTGAAACAAAAAGTTCAGAATTATATAAAATCTCAAGTCATGTTTTGTGAGTTCATCTTCAGCGGCCAATGAGCTAATTGGATTAGCATTTAGCCAAACTGAAGAACCGTTTACCATCCAATCACACTCTTTCAGAATCATTTTAAAGCAATAATTTTCATTGCAATTATTAGTAGCTTTTCTACTTCAGTGATACATCTTGGGTTTGAAAAGAGGGTCTTACTTGGCAAGAGCAGCTATTGAAAGTTCTCATTAGAATGAGTGCATTATGCACTTTAGATGGAGTTTATAGGGAAAAAATGAAACATTTGGCAGGTCTAAGCAGTACATTAGTTATCTGACAGGCTTTGCAAATGATCTATAAGATGCATTCATGGATAAATGCAATAAAGTTAGAATTTTATAAGGCTTTGCCAAGGCTATTATCTATTAAAAAGCCAGTTATTCCTTTTGATGATAATAAAGGGTGGAGCAGTAAAAGTACATTGTTCACTTGTTAGAAAATTTGATAACATATATGTTCATTAAAAACCCCTCACAGTAAATTGCATTCTCTTGCTTTTCATATTGGTCTCTAATTGCATAAGGAAGAAGTTGGCTCTGTATAATATAATTCTGAATTACTCCAGAAACTTAGTTCTTAAAAGGAATTTATTTGGAAAGTTATAAAAATGATTACAAATATTTAGAGTTTTGTAATTTACACCAGTTAAAATTTAAAAAATATATGATCTGACAGAATCTCCTGTATCATCATATGTTTATTACATATACTGTTTATATTCAAGATAAATATTAAATTCAAGACTCAGATTTGTATACTCTCCTGGCAGCTGATCAATGCTTGGACATTCTATTACTATTTGTACTTGCAAACTTATCTTTTATATCTGCTTTTTCAGGAGGTTCACCAGAGCCTGAAATTATGAGTCAACTCAACTGAAATTGAAAAACTGTTACAAAAAGATCTTTTGTAGAAGCTATTAAAGCATACTGAATTCAGACAAGGCAATATTGATCAATAGAAGTTTTATTTTATAGTATTTTTAATTTTCCCACGTTCTCCTTAAGAGTATTATGTAGTCACAAAATAGTTATTTAAAATATTAAAAATTTAATTAATGAGGTAAATACAGAATTGTTGTAGCATCTCAGCTTTCATTGGAAGCATGACTACAAAATAACTACTATTTTATATGACATATCTGATATACATAATTTAACAGGAGAGGAGTTGTCTTGAGGTTCTTGGAGACTAATAATTTCTACAATGATATGTAAATTAAATTCTCATTATTCTCTATCTCATTATGGAAAAAAATCTTAATACAGCATTTTATGGGAAAAAGTACCATCCTCTGATAGAAGATGTTTTCTTTTTACATGGGAATGAGACAGGTGAACCATTTTATAAAAGAGGTGTGTTATCATTCAGTAATAACAGTAAAGAAAATAGGTAGACCAAACATACTATGAGTACTGTTGACTTTTCATTAAAGTAACAGTAGACTTATAGCAAATACTTCTGTAATTTTGCACGTTGATGAAATTCTATATTGTATAGCACCAGCAATGGAATAAATGATTACATAAGCCAATGTAAAAAGTGTTTCTTCTTTAAAGAAAAATATGTATTGATGGATTTTTTTTATTAAAAAGAAATATAGTGTTTTAACCAAGAATTAACTTTTTTGTCTGGAAATTTAACTAAAATTTTTTTTTAAGAAAATAATGTTTTAGATGATAAAAATTAGTTAAATCACATTCCTGAAAGCTAAGCTAGGGAAGCAACTTAAATTCATAGTGTATATAGAAACAAGATTACTAATTTTATTCTTTTGTAGTTGTGTTTAAGAATTAGAAAATGATAATAGGATTTTCCTTTTAACATTATTTTTTGCCTATTCTTGTACTCCAAGAAAGTTTTAATATATCATGGACATTTTAATTTGCCTTATTAATCTTTATTATCCCATGTGAGGAGGTTAATGCCAAGCATCATTTATTTTACATAAGAAGAATGAAAATAAGCAAAGGCATTTGTTTTTAAAATTTGTTTTTAAAATCTTTTATAATGCAGTTGAATTATAATATCAGAAATATTTAATGATTTAGAAGAGCTATATCAAACTTGCACAAGGAGCTGTATTAAGAATAGATAGAAATTATGCCACTGTTTTCATTGGTGCAGTTTCAGTGGTTTTCCTTATTTTAAGTTGTTTGCACAGTCCCTTAAAATAGCATTTTGTGAATATTTAGCATTCACTTTGTATTTACAAATTCTTTGTTTCTGAAGGATAAAATATTCCTGTAAGATGATGGTTTACCTCTTGGAATTATGAACCCTAAATTCTGCAAGAAGTAAATATAACTGTAAAAAGCAAATAAATAAGCATTTTCTACTCATGTTGTTACTAGGTAATATATTAATTTCCTAATTTTTGTCTATAAGAATGTGATGATTTTGATCACATGTTCTGGAATGACAGAAGCAAAAAATAAAAAAATAATAACATTCTAACTTATGGGTTTGAAATTTTTTTTAATTGCTCTAAAGCAGAAATGTTCTCCTCTTTTTGGTTTCCTGGGTAGTGCCTATGATCAGAAGCCACAAGTGGGAATGAGGCCCTCCAACCCCCCAACACCGTCCAGCACTCCAGTGTCCCCACTACATCATGCATCCCCCAACTCAACTCACACTCCGAAACCTGACCGCGCCTTTCCAGCTCACCTCCCTCCATCGCAGTCCATGCAAGACAGCAGCTACCCCATGGACCACAGGTAAACTGCAAATACCATTTTTTAAAAATTCATAGAAGAAATTCCTAAGACCTATAGTAGATTTAAAGTGAACACATTAATGTTGCTCTTCCGGGCAAAAATATTTTTAGAAAGAGCTTGCTCTATCATTATAAATAATTTGTAGAGAATGTCTTTTATAAACAGACATTCCTTTTGTAAACATTTAAATTGGTTGCTAATTTGGAAAATTAATCTATCTACTGACATTTCAACATCTCCCTCGCTTTGCTTGAATTAAATTGCTTCACTTAAACTTTAAATCAGATCATCTCATTTTTATGAGCATATGTGTGTATTTGTTCTATAACGTTAGGAGACTTATTTTATTTTTTTTTAAGATTTATTTATTTATTTATACAAGCACTGGGTACAGTAAGAAATGCAGAAGGGTGAGAGAATTCACCAGAACCAGAGCGGGGAACAGAACAGGCAGACTGATGAAACACACTGCTGAGGGGAGCAGCGGGCGCAGCAGGAGAGGTCTGCACGCCTTGTGGGACCCTCGCCAGCAGCTGGGGATTGAACCGGTGCTGCAGAGGCTGTGGACAGCTTTGCAGCCCAGCGCTAGGAGACTAATTTTAGAAGGTGGCTTATGGAATTCGGTTCCTTACTTTAGATTGAATGGTTTATCTGTACATAGTTTGGCAAAATAGCACTTCTTTGATAAAAACTACTTTCCATCCTTCCCAACTGATAAATATTTAATGTTAGTAGCTGCATGACCCTGGAAGCTGAGAATGTAAAGTGAAAGAAATAAAGACTTGACTAGTATAACTTAGAAAGGAGGAGGTCAGGATTTAGTGCATGGAGCTGGAGAGATTACTGTGGTGAGAAAGCCTTGATTCCCAGAGATGAAAAAAAATCATATTTAAGTAAAATAATAGTATAACTTAAAACACAGATAGATTTTATATATAGTATTCTTTCATTCCCCTGCTATCTTTTACTTATGCGTAGTCAGTATAGTACTGACAAGTTTTTAACAATATGCTGTATGGGAGAAAAAAAAAAAAACAAAAGATCTGGAGCATTGGATGCGTTTGTGATGTCAGTACTCCCCTCCCCATACCCCCATGGCTCACCCCAAGTTGGCAATATGATAACCCTGAATGAGAAATTGAAAAGGAATGTGTAATGCCATGCCATTATATTATATTTTTACCTTGTAGATATAATAGTATAAATAACCTCAAAAGCATCATTATTAGTAAGATATAGTAAAGTAATTGGGAAATGATGAGCTTTGAGTGTTTATTGCCTTTAAAATATTATAAGTTGACTTAATTTAATGCTTAATAGCTGTTTAACATGTGGCTCACAATGTTCCTGCAAATTTATATAAACCAACACAAACAAGCTCTGACACACCATTATACAGGTGCCAAAGGACCTCCTAGAAATCAGCAAGAGACCAGAAAATGTGACATTGGCAACTTTATAAAAATAAGGGAGTTTTCAAATCTGTCACAGGTTACTTACTGGGCCCCAGTCTCAAATCTGGGAACTTTTCCTAGGAAGGGATGAGAAGAAAACATTTTTTCTAATGTGACAGTAAGCTGTATCTTCTTCCTTTGTTTCCATCATAAATTCTGTTATACTTTAGTTATAAACACTTCCCACTATCTTCCCCTTCTCACCCCATAGACACGAGACCTCGTCAGGGCGTGATGGTATGTGCATCTGTGTAAACAGTTTTGTAAATACAGATGAAAGATATCTTAGTGCAGGGTGGCCATTGAACAGATGCACATTGTGTGGAGCTAAAAGGGGAAACAGTTACAAAAAAGCATCTTTTATTTTGTCCTCTTCTGGTGACTTCCCAGAGTTCATAATACCTGAGCCTCTGAAACTTCAAATAAGTGCCAGAAGTATGGATTGTGTAGTTGCTTTCTGTGGAATTATTTCTTATGGAAAGTGACTGCTGAGCAAGCAGGATGCCTGTTTTTAGGTGACCTAACTTGCAGTGCTTTAGCCAAATCCATTTTAGTTTCTCTACTTGAAGTCAAATATCTGAGACTGAGAACAGCCGGCCCGGAACTCTAAGAGGGAAGCTCAGGGTCTTTTCCCACTGCCCCCCACTGGGTTTTGAGTACAGTACCAGCTGGCCAATCCCAGGAAAATCTCTGAAGCCGTATGTTTCTGAGGAGGATTTCTTGGAGGGCTCTGGCTAACAAATGACAGTCCCTCAGTTATAAATGGAAAAATTTGCTCTGGGAACAGATCCTTTCCCCAAATAGCCCCCTCCAGCCTGGGCACCCCACGTCACTCTGGGAATGTTTCATGGCCAACTGGGCTGCGCCCTGCTTCCTTTCCTCAGGCTCACTGCCCCTCAGCTCAGGTCTTTGGCACTTTTCAGATCCCACTCTGCAGGAATCCTGGTCTCTTTTTCTTCATGTTCCCCACTACTTATGCATTGTTTTTCTATATCAAAGATAGCATTAGAATATTCTCTGTGCCCATTATCTCTCTTCCAGAAGCTTCTTGAGTCACCTCTTTACCATTAGTCAGGGGTTCATAAAAATGGCACCAAAAATGTGCAGCTTCCACTGAAGCCTATGCGTTCCATGTATGTATACATGGTCCTAAGCAAATAGCAACTGCCATCAGTTTGACTCGTAAAAACAAATGGCTTGATTCCTTACAAAGCTTTTAGTATAAGTATTATTAACTTCCTTTTAAGGCTTCACAAGTGAGTTGGTTTCTTATTTTAACTTCAAGTTACAATTTTCTGATTCACTCCTTGACAGTTCTTAATGATAATTTCTGTTTCTTTTTTTGGCTAATGAAATAAGCAAGAGAAGGGAAATGAATGCAGTGCCAGTCAGCCTCACTGTTTTGCAATATCTGAGTTTCTAAGTTTATTTTCTGCAGGTGTAGGTGGAATTTCAGTGCTTTCCATGGCAGCTAGTGTGCCTAGAGTTAAATTGCAGGATCAAGTGTTCTTAGAAATGCCAAGCCAATTGCTTAGCCTTTCTTTAGCCTTTATTTTTATTTAATGTTACCAAAATTAATGTTAACTTTGCAAATTAAAGTCTCAGGAACAATTTTAATGGGGGGTGTTAAGGATTGGAGTGGAGGGGAGTTCATAGGCTTTATTTACTCACAGAAATTGTTGGATAGGTTATTTTTAAGCACTCTTGGGGCATTCATAGAACACTTTTAAATCTTTAATTAATACAATGTGTGGTTGCGTCAACGATGTTATGGATGAGAAACACAGAACTGAATGATTATGTTATTAGCCAATCATTACACAGTGTAACTAAGAAGGAAGGACTGCAGAGGCTCACTGTCATCTTTCTACCCAAGCCTCAGAACTTCCTCATGACCACACAAATATACATAATGCATAAAACAAGTTCTTTTCATCTTTGGATATCTGCTGTATTTTATGCTTACTTTTTAAAATCAACCTGATATTTTATTTGAAGTTTTTATAAGCCACTGTGCTCTCTTTTTGCTTGACAGTAAAGAGATAGTCTTAACAAACCAACTTGTATTTCAGTCTCTTTTCCAGTTTTCTTTCTCATGAGAATACAAAGTTAATTAGAACATTGTTGAAGATTCAGATAAATCTTGCCCATTTGAGAAGAGAGCCACCTCTTCCTTTCTTCATAAATGATGGTCAGGGAAGGAAAACCTGCAAGTAGATTTTTATTTGGCTCCTTATTTTTTACTTTCTTGTTAATAAGTTTGGTAACAGATTAAAAGAGGATGCCATTTGAGATCACACTCTTTATTTTCTGTTTTTTTTTTTTTTTCTTTATGTAATTGTTTGAGAAATTGGGTAAGTTACACAGTTGATTTAGAATGGGACATTTTAGCCGGTAAGGTATATACAGTTTCTCCCTACAGGGTGCTCTTCTCCTATCCCTACTCAAATCATGGAAATGTTGCTATGAGAGACTAATTAATTAGATGAGGAACACAGATCACACTGTGATTTGAGGAAAGCATCATGCTACTGACCCAGGAAAGAGAAATCTAGTCTTTGTTTAAGGTGTACATTTCAATTCAGGTGTCATGTTCATTAGCTAGGTAGTTACAAATTGTATTGGTATTTAAAAGACTATTCCTTGTTGACGTTTCTTTTTTTTTTTTTTTTTTTTTTTTTTTTTTTTTGTCTTGTGTTTTTTCAAACCAGTCAAATTTAGCAGTGGCCTTGATACCATTTCATTTGAAACTTGTACTCTCCTTCCTAGATTTCGCCGCCAGCTTTCTGAGCCCTGTAATTCCTTTCCTCCTTTGCCCACAATGCCAAGGGAAGGACGTCCTATGTATCAACGGCAGATGTCTGAACCAAACATCCCCTTCCCACCTCAAGGCTTTAAGCAGGAGTACCATGACCCAGTGTATGAACACAACACCATGGTTGGTGGTGCGGCCAGTCAAAGCTTCCCCCTCCTCTGATGATTAAACAAGAACCCAGAGATTTTGCATATGATTCAGGTAGGTGCATGCCTTAAGGAATTATATTTAAAGTATCTCATTTGCTTGTCACTGTGATTGGTACTGACATCAGACAGAGTGGCTCATGACCATTTCTTGGTGGAGTCTTTGATTTAATTCCTGATTTGAATTTTGCCTATAGGTGAAGGGTCAGACAAAATGGTCAAGCCATTTTGGTAAGAGCCAATTGTTGAAGAAATATCTAGAAATGAAAGCAGTTCCAAGTGAAATTTGCAAAATCCTGGCCACTCTCGGTCCAAGAGAATAACATTGTAATATTTTCTAGGTTCTGTGCAATCTTTCCTTTTGCTATGTCAGTACTATTTAATAACAATGTTTATAGAAAGTAATATTCTGTACTGAACCACTTACTGCTTATAACTTTGTTTTCCTTTATTGGTGTCAAATTCCAAAGGTCAGAAAGTAAGGGTTCTTATATTTTAGGAGAGGAGTAGCAAAAAAGGCAGATTGGTGGTTTATTCATAGACTTCAGCTTCAGTCTCACTGAGCCAGAAACACTGCAAAGTACTGTGTGAAGGTGGATAGAGCTGTAAGGACTGCTTAAACATAATTGGTTCCAAATGTTACTACCAAGTTTGCCAACATTTGACCTTGAGACCATAGAAGAATTACTTAACACACTGGTGTTTAGTTTCTGTTATTAAAACCTCAAAATTAGAACGTCTTTTTTCACATATCGTGAGAATTCTGAAAAAAGCGTATGAAATCAAAGCTAATGTTGATAAGAAGGGTACCATGGGCCTCTCACATATTACTGTTAATATTTTGTTAACTGTGGTAAGTAGATGGTTCTAGACATGGAGATAACTGAAAACAATGCTATTTCCTTTTTTTCTGGATATAAAGTGATAGATGTTCTTGATGATGAAACTATTGCTTCTTTAAGAATAACTGCTCAGATTTATTGTCAGTTCTGCTTGAGGAAAGAAAATTGTCTTCAGGTCTTGAATTTTCAACTTTCTTAAAATTAGTAAAACTTGACTGGAGGAAACTCTCCAAGGTAGTCTCCTCAGGCCATCCTTTGTATGTTTCCTCACTGAGCGAGAGGGCTCTGGACTATAAGGAACCGCCCATTTGGAGGCCATGACTCCACTTCTGGAAAGTACACCTGCTACCCAGAACCCATGAATTCCCTGCTCCCCAGACTCACAGTCTACTTTCAGGGTCTAAGTGGGTTCATCCCAGTCCTAGTTTTCTGAAGGCAGAGAACACTGTTCCTTTGTTCCCCCATAGGTCCAAAGAGGTGGTCAAAGGGCAGCTGTCTGTGGGAGGATGAGGATGGAGCTTAAATGTGACCACTTGTTTGTGTATGAGGCCCCCACGGTACAGCACGGTGTGGAGCTGAGGAAAGGGAAGAAGAGGGAAAGACTGAGATTCAAGGAAGGGAAGCTGGCTCCAAACTATTTCTCCAGGGCTAATTTTAGAAATTTCCCCAAATACTAAATTTGATTCTTGCATTCCATGGTTACAATGGTATATTTTCATAGGAGGAGAGGGAGAGAACATATATGTAAAATTCCTTTGTCTGGATTATAATTTTTAAAATTGAAATATGTGATGTGATGACCTTTATTGGAATGCTTGCCTCCTGACTTGAATTTGGAGACTTCGGAAATGTGCCACAGTGTTTTCAATTTAGAGCTTTTTATATGTGTCCGTAGTTTATGTCCGTAATTAAGAAGCCTGCAATACAATGAACTTTATTATAGGTAGGATTCATTTTTTTTCTGTAAATTTCAGATACTGTTCAGTGATATTATCCTTATTCTCTCAACTGCATTTTAATCTGCCGAACTGGTTTTTGAATTCCCCATGATTTCAAGAAACTTTACATGAAATCAAACAAATAGCCTAAATAATTGGCTTGAAAGGATTTATAGAGCATGGCATTTAAAAAATTTCTTTGTGTGTTCTAGAAATATTTTATATGTATAAACATAGAAAGATTAGCATTGAAAATGCTTTCTTGATTTTGTGGCGTCTCTCTCTTCTGTCTCTTTATTTATATATACACACACATGCATATCTGAAGCAACTTTTGCTTCTCTGAGAATAACTGCTGAGTTTTCTATCAGTTCTACTGGAGGATAGAAGATTGTATATATGCAATTATATATACATACATATATATGTAAAACAAAATTATATGTAATATGATATGCAAATATGTAGCTTTTCTTGAGGCACTGTGAACTGAAAGAGATAAATATTCCAATGAAGGCAAAACATAGGAGCTGCTGCTATACAATTTAATTGTACTTTTTGTGGGTTTTATATGTTAATTTCAGAGTCAGTCACTATCTGACCTCAAAACACAAATTGAGTCACTTGTAAAATAAAAAGTCTAGTCCCTGTCTTCGCACAGTCTGCTATAATGAAGTCCTATCAACTGGTGACTCAAATACAGACACATTTCGCACAGTCCTGAGTCTGAGAAATCCAAGGTCCGAGTGCCGTTGGCAGAGTCCTGGCTTGCAGACAGCTGCTATTTCACTGTGTTCTCATATGGCTGGTTTCTTTCCCTCTGGATATTAATCCCATCATGGGGTCTCCATCTTCAAAACCTCATCTAATACTATAGGCCATCATAATACCACTTCCAAATTCCATCATATTTGGCATCGTCTTCAACAATGAACTTTGGGGAACATTTACTTTTAGTCCATAACAGTCCGGGATCCTATTTCAAAGGTATACCATCTACCTTGGTAGAAAATTTATTTAATATTTGAGACATGTTAATTTTATGTTACTTTTCTCCCCTCTAAATTATTCTTCAGGTTTTGAAAGTTGTATAGAACCTTTGAATTCCAATTTCAGTATTACCAACAGGATGCATTATGGTTTGCTTGAATAGCTAAATAGTAAAGTTATAATACTAGATGTGGTTTAAAGGAACTGTAGTAACAATATAACCATTCAATATTAATCTGTGGTTATCAAAATGTATTTTACTGACCACTAAATTGTTGACACTGTGACACTTAATCAAAAGGTATGATTTCTAGAAATTTTGTTGTCACTACTTCTTTGATCCTTGCTGAGAGCACACTGAATAACCTTTTCAAGGAAATCTAATGTATCATTACCAAACCATTGGTATTTTGTCTACTGTGTTGAACAATTAGCACATTAGAAATTATTTTATGTGATTTAAAGACAGTGCAAAAAAATCCTTTGTAGTCAGTTTGCCTGGCACCTATGATCTTAAAGTTGTCCTTTCAGAAGGCCTCTAAACTCTTTATTGCTTAATTTGATATAACATAATGTTGTGACAATAAAAGAAACTTTGTAAGTAAAAAGGCAGCATGATTATACTCTAATAAAACCTGACATTAATTATGACATGGGAAATGGAAGGTCTATTAGTTATAATTATAATTACAGGAATGCAATTTCAACTGCCGATTATTTAAGCTAAAAAATGCAAAATATTATGCTAGTAGGGTAGAAAGTTTTATCCAGGAGAAGAGGAAAAATGGATCATGAGACATGAGAAGAAAACTCGATGCTTAGGATCAAGTTGATGAGTCAATCCTGTGTGTTCATGATATTAAGTTCTCAGCAATCCAATTATATGTTATTGTTGTTTTCCTTCTGTTCTTCTTTAGCCTAATGATGCTGCAAAAACAGGACACAGTCTTTGTGTGTGTGTGTGTGTGTGTGTGTGTGTGATTGCTTGGTTGTTTTTCCTAAATCCAACATGATCTCTTCTCTGTCCCCAGGTCTTAGTGAGTATACGAAAATGTTGACTGTGTATCAAGTGCTTCTTTCAGAGTGTTGTATACAGTGGCCCATTGTCATAGAAGCATGGCTGTTTCACTGTCTTCGTGCTCCTGAATATGAGGTTTTGAGTGTCCAGAGTGGCTAATGAGACAGTTATTTTTGATGTGCGACCGGGCATTAGAGTTTTATGTGCTAGGTGATTGTATGGTAATTTGTTTCATTTTATTTATTTTTTTGATAGCTTAGAATAGTATTTGTAGGGAGGTCATGGGCATATGAAGCTAAAGTTTGCTTCAAGAAAATATCAGCACACAGTGTTAATGCACTTTGATAGAATTATTTTACTCTCAGGAATTAATCCCAAGGAATGAGAAGACACATAGTTAATGAGATTGAGAGGAGGGAAGGAGGGAAAAGGGAGGTGGGCGGGGAGAGAGAGAGATTGTAAATATACATTCATTGGGGGTGAAAAAAGTTATGACTCTTCATAACAGAAATATTAAGCAGACATTAGAAGTCAGGCATTTGGTTTTTCTAACCATTTAATGAAATGAAAATATTGAGTGGAAAAAAAATATGTAAAGAATAAATCCTGGAAGAAAATACTTGGTACAGAAGTGCAGTGGTCATGTATGTATGATAATATAGGAATTCCTATTTTGTCTATAAATTGTACTTTAACAATGCTTATTTATTGCTTTTTTTTAAAAAGAGATTTATTTATTTATGCATACAAGAACTGGGGTGTAGGCCAGAGGTGCATGGAGGCGGGGAGTGAGAGGAGTCACCAGAGAAAGAATGGGGAGCAGAACAGGTGGAGTGACTGAAATATACTGCTGAGGGGAGCAGCGGGCGAGACAGGAGAGGCCTGCTGCGCCATGTGGGTAGCTCCCGGCAGGAGATAAAGGCACTGGTTGCCTATAGCTTCATAGTGCTGAGGCTTAACCCCATGCACCACCAGAGAAGCCAGATTTTACTGCTTTTCTAATTAGAAAGTGTTAAGTATCTTTTCTGAATTATCAATTCATTTAGAGTCAAAGAAGAGAAGTGTTCAAATTATTCAATTTTATAAGTAAAAAGAATGCTAAGTAAAGGATGACATTACAGTTTCATGTTGCAAACCTAACTTGCTTTCGATTACTTAGTCATTTCTGTTAGTCCTGCAGGGCTGCCTTAGAGAAGGGAAGAGAAATTGCATGCTACTTGGTGCGTTTCAGGTCCATTCCTGCAGAGTGCCTGCAGTCCTACCATTA